CATCCTCACCAGCAAGCTCAAGGGAGACGGCAAGACCGAGCTTAGCCGTTTGCTAGGAAAAAAAAGAAACAAATTAGTATTGAGGTTGCGATCAAAAAAAAAAAAAGACGGATGTCGCTTACCTTGGCCTGGTCGATCTCACCAGCGAAGGAGAGAGAGATGGGCATGGCAATACGCTTCTCGAGGAGGCAGCTGACCTTGCCGGTGCTGTCAACCTGGGCGCGGAACGAAGAGGCACGGAAGTCGTACTTGGCACCAATGGCAGTGGTACCGTCACGAGCAGGGCCACCCATCATAAGAGTAGCGGGAGAGGGCTGGAGTTGGAGGTTCATGTCAATACCGGCCTCAACACGCTCGGACAGCTTGCGCCAGTAAGTGGCGTTGAAAGTGCCCTGGGCCTGCAGCTGAGCGGTACCAATCCAGTCATCACCCTTATACTTGGCGGAGTAGGACAGAGCGGTCTCGGGACGAGCGGTGATGCCCTGGCGTTGCCAGATGGCCTCGAAACCAAGAGCGAGACTGGGGGTGATGGACTGCAGGTAACTGCCGACGAAGATACCGGTAAGACCACCCTCGAGGCAAGAGGGGTTGAAGGCCTTGAGAGACGCAGAGAAGTCACGGCCAGTGTAGTCGTTATCGATCTGGACCAAGCCCTGGGTACCACCGTTCATGATCTGAGCATTGGTCTTGGTGACAAGGGCCTGGTTCCAGCGGTAGTTGGCGACGGCGGCGAGCGCACCGTCGCTTCCGTAGTTACCTTGCATAAACACCTACCGGAGAACGATATGTTAGATACTGAGAATTGCAGTGATCGGCACACGGATTGCATGGAATAGTTGTCCTTACCCTGGGGCTTCCGTACATGGCGGAGAAAGCATATGGAGGCAGGTTGCCAGTTGAGCCCATAGAGAACGCATGCGACACACGGAAGAGAGGGGACATGCCGAAGACCTTGGTCAAGTCCGCCCGGAGACCGGAGAACATGAAGTTGGTCAAGAGAACATCCTTCTGCACTTCCCTGGCGAGGTTATCGACAGTGCCGGGGTTGGGCAGGTTGAGCAAGGCCCTTCGGTCGGAGAACGAGGAGTATGCATCGTTGACAGCCGCGGCGGCAGGGTTCTCTGTGAGAAAGGAGAGGGATGATAGGTAATCGGCCATTTTGGTTGAGATCTGATAAATTGACGAATATATTAGGTGTCGTCACGCGTGTTAGTCCCAGTTGAGACTCGGAGGAAAACACAAAGGATTGAGAATAAAAGGGATTGAGACCAGCCCGAGGATCTGGGACGAACAAACGTCTCAGATGACCTTGATAAAATAGTGTAAAAAGGGCTGGATCTGATGCGCTCAGGAGTGTAGGGGAAGCAATTCAAGACTTTCCAAGCTGTGAAAAATGCTAGTCACCTGCCTCAGCGTCTTTGGTTGCTGTCGTTCGCCGGGATGTTACATAAGCTTTTTCGGGCTTTCCCGGTTCAAGGCAAGACCGGGGGGAAGGATTGGGGGTGATTGGGGGTGATTGGGGGGTATCTAACTTGATATTAATTTACTTTTGAAGGGATTCTTTCTTTTGCATTCTATTTGGTGTTAAATTGTTCTCGAATCGGGGTTTCGTTTGGACTGCTTCGCATATTGCAGCCTGAAAAACAAGGCAACAAAAGCCAATGATCTGCACCTGATATCTGGGCCTGATCGATTACCTATACCGCCTCTCAGGTACCCTTTCTTGTTTCTTGCTTCCTTGCTTCACTATCTTGCTATCGGGTTGACGTGACTCGAAATATCTCTGAGTTATCTCAGTACTACCTATCGATAATCCTGACACGCTCAATACTGAATCTTGTGATATCTTGATATCTCAACGTTGCGTCACCCCGACATCCCACTATGGACACCTTACTGTAAGCTTGCCTTTCCCGCGTCAGGATTTCATCTTCTCTCCCATGAAAGTTTTTTTTTGTGTGCTTTTTGCTTGATAACACTGGCAAAAAAAGAAAGAAAGAAAGAACGAGCCATGCACACTGTCTAGTCTTGAACAGGCTGAAGAGTGAAGCCTGATAGTAGATTTGAACTGACATCATATATAGCACCGCTGAGATTGTGGCCAACTCCCCACGATTCCGTCGCAAGTCATCAATTTTTGTCGATGCAATTCATGACTTGCCGGAAAAGGCCGATCTGGCTCCGGCCCAGCTGTACAGCACCGAATCTGGTCGTCTTTTTCACTCGGGCCGCATTGTGATCATCACCGTCGGCTTGCCTGCCAGAGGCAAAACGTATGACAATTTTTATATTGAGATTAGTGTTGCTCAGTGAGCTAATTTTAAATCCACGACAGACATATCTCAGTAGCTTTGGCACGATACCTGCGATGGTATGCTTTCTTCCTGTGATTTGCGCATTTATAGAGGTATGCTAATGTAATTGATAGGCTTGGTGTCAAAACCAGAATCTTCCATCTGGGCGACTACCGTCGTGCTACGATCCCATTTGGCGAGGACATGCCAGATGATTATTTCTATGTCAATGGTAGGCATGGTATCCTCATCTACCTGAACGACCACATTGACATTTCTGTTTAGCGACTGCCAAGTCCGTTCTTCTACGCCAAAAGATTGTGAGAAAATGTCGAGAAGACATCTATCACTTTTTGAATCACGAAAATGGTCAAATAGCGATATATGATGCCGTCAACCCGCTAGCCTCAGGACGGCGCTCGCTTGCCAAGGAGTTTGCAAAGCATGATATCGAGGTAAGTTAGAATTGATCATTTGAATATTTGACAATAGACTAATTATCGATATTTCTTTTACCAGACCCTGTTCATTGAGTCTTGGTGTGACGACGAACGCATCATTGAAGAGAATGTTCGCAGAGTCAAGATATCCTCCCCTGATGTGAGTCTCATGTATATCCTGACATCGAACGGAAACTCTGACCATCATGGTTAGTACGTCTCATGGAAGTCAGAAGATGCCGTGAAGCATTACTTGAACCGTATCTATTCTCGCATCCCCCAATTCCAGACCATGGAGGAAAAGGACTTGAACTTTATCAAGGTACGCGCAACTGATTTTGTCCCATTGCCATTACTCACCCAATACAGATGATCAACGCCGGCGAGAGACTGATTGTCAACAATCGAAGCTTTGGTTACCTTTCTAACCGTATAGTCTTCTATCTTCTAAATCTCCACATCAAATCGAGACGCACATACTTTGCTCGGGTAGGTCATCTAGTGTCCATATTGCTACAATGAAAAACCTAACATTTTATTTAGGCTGGAGTCTCGCTAGACGCAGATTCATACAAAGCCGATGCTTCGTTGTCAGAACAGGGAGAAGACTACGCCAAGAAAATGACGGCACGTCTACTAGCTCACCGGGAAGAAGAGAAGCAAGCAATGATTGAGCGAGGAGAGACTGGCTATGAGTCAAGGCCCTTGAAAGTTTGGACTTCTACACGGCGCAGGACAGTGGAAACCGCGCAATACCTCCATGAAAACGGATATAAAATCCGGCAAAGGTCTCAATTGAGCCAACTGCACCCTGGTGTTTGTGAGAAGATGTCTGAGGATCGCATCCGAGCAGAGTTTGGGGACGAGGTTGCTAAGCACGAGCTTGATCCCTACCACCACCGTTATCCCCGGGCAGAGGTAAGCCTTACCCCAACCCTTCAAAGTGTGTAGCTGCTGACCATTTGCACTAGTCATATCATGACTTGGCTGTTCGCCTCGAGCCAATTATCCTTGAATTGGAGAGGGAGCAAACCGATCTGCTCATCATTGCACACGAAAGTGTTTTGAGGGTTTTGTATGGCTATCTCATGGCCTGCAATGCTGCGGATATTCCGTTCCTTGAGTTCCCTCGCGATGAAATCATTGAGGTAAATTGGATTTTGGGTTGGATTCATATCTATGGTAAATTAACACTATTCCAGATTGTTCCCGAGAGCTATCAGAACGAGGCACAGCGGATCCATATCCCCGACCTCCCCGAAGAGATTATCCCGGACTCTCCAGAGGACTTGAAGATTCCAGTGCCCCCAAGCGGGGTGGTATCACCGACGCAAGGGCTTGGTAGCCCGGAAGGTCAAGTAACACCACAGAGTGGTCATCGAACACCCAGTGGAATCCGAACACCGCGCGAGCGCGAACGGATCTCACAACAGCATGTTGAAGATGTGGTCTAGGTAAAAGTCCACATTAATTCGCTTCGCTTGCCCGGCAAGACCACCCATTATGTTGCTCCCGAATTCTTCCAGCCACACTTCGAATCAAGTTGGTTTTTTTCTTAGTTGCGTTGATAACATCAATACAATCCATCATGTTTAACCGCCGTGTAAAGTCGAGACAAAAACAATGTTATCTCCTTGTTGAAGTTCGTATGTCTCTTCACCTTCGAGTTCCCAATCGGCATCGTTGATGAGGACGAGAATGCCTGGTCGTCTGTCGAAGTCATTAGTACTGTTTGAATAAAACCCAAAGTTGTGTTGACATACACATTGTCCTCCATGATGAACATGTCTATCCTCTGATCTTTCATGAGGTTGTCGACGAGATATTTAAGCAGGTATGAGATGTTGGGCGTGCTGCCATCCTCTAAACGAGGAGGCAAAACGACCTTATGCTTGCGCTCATTCCCGAACAGCAATTCTAAGCCGCCGCTATCGAGATCAATTATCAGCAGAGGTTGATCAATTGAAGGAAAGATTTGACGTACGTAAACTCGACGGTGATAGGGATTGGGAATTCTCCCTGGCCCGCATTTGAAGTATCAGCCATGGCGTTGCAGACGAAGGGAAATACAGAGCATATAACACTTATTGGGAACGAATGAAAAGAGATCACAAGTCGAGTCTGTTGAAGATGGAGGGGCTAGGCGGAGACAGAACCTCTTATCGATAAGCCCCAATCTTCCCGCAATTTCTTTGCGGCTTCTCTCCAATTGATTCCCAGTACAGCAGCACAGACAAAAGGGTTCACAAAACCCTCATAATACTCCATGGTCGCCGTCGAAACAGACTACATTAGCGTGGGGGTAACCGGCATCCTGGTGCCGCGGATTGGGATGTGCAGACAGGCGTACTTGCCTTCGGTGCGGACAACAATGTCGCCTTATGGGATCCTCTAGTAGGTCCATTGAGAACAACTGCGCATTCATAACAAGGAAGAGCTGACACTTATTCAAGGACAAGAATGATCGTGGTATCTATGCCCTACTTGTTGGTCATACCGACAAAGTCAGCGTCGTTCGATTTTATACATGCCCCGCCTCAGGAACGAGATTTATTGTCACCGGCTCCGTCGACCGCACAATACGGGTATGGCAAAAAGACAATGCCGATCCCCACAACTATGTCCTTGCATCTACCCTTGAGGGTCACACGGGCTCAGTGAACGCGATTGCCGTCGCCGATGGCACAAACATCATCGCATCTGGAGCGGCTGATGGGACAGTTCGGACCTGGAGAATAAATGCAGAGGACGGATTGAAGTGCGAGCTACTTGAAACTATCACAATGACACCACGGTTTTTCCCGCTGTCTCTGTCATTGCAGGGACTTGAAGGCGACTCGGATAAGCCATTGGTGTTGGCCGTTGCAGGTACAACGACCAAGGTTCAGATCTACGTCTCGGAAACCTCCATCGGCAAGCCAGAGTTCAAGCGCCAGGCTGTGCTTGCGGGACATGAAGCCTGGATCAAGGCTCTTTCGTTCACCCAGGACAAGCAGAACAACGGTGATATCCTGTTAGCGTCTGCAAGTCAAGACAGATACATCCGTCTTTGGCGACTGCGTCGGGGTGAAGCAAGTGCCCCTGCTCCGATAGATGATACGGATCCTCTGCTTGGAGGAATGGAACCTACGCTATCCAACAAAGCCCATGAGTTCGAGGCTGCAGGATCGAAATACTCCATTACTTTCGAAGCTCTTCTCTTTGGACACGAAGACTGGATCTATACTATTGCATGGAATCCTGATTCGAACCGACAACAGCTTCTCTCGGCATCGGCTGATAATACCATCACAATTTGGGAACAAGACCAAGCATCAGGCGTTTGGATGTCCGCAGAGAGAATGGGAGAGATCAGTGTCCAAAAAGGATCTACCACGGCGACTGGTAGTGCAGGTGGCTTCTGGATTGGGCTCTGGTCACCAGATGGAAAGCAGGTGGTGAGTCTTGGCCGGACAGGTAGTTGGAGAGTCTGGCGACATGATTCCGACTCGGATCTTTGGATACAGAGGTTCGGTATTTCGGGCCATGTGCGCCCCGCGAACGGTGTACAATGGGAGCCCACTGGAGGCTACCTGCTTTCAACCAGTTCAGACCAAACCACCCGACTTCATGCAAAGTGGGTGCGGGGAAATACAGGTTCCTGGCATGAGTTTTCTCGCCCTCAGATTCACGGGTACGATTTGAACTGTGTCGACACACTGGGTCCCTCACAGTTTGTGACTGGCGCAGAGGAGAAGCTCCTGCGTGTGTTCAATGAGCCCAAACCAATTGCTCAGTTGCTCGAGAGACTCACTGGGTTCAAACAATCGAATGACGAGGACCTCCCAGACACTGCTGAAATCCCAGTGCTGGGTCTCTCGAATAAGGCACTTGGGGATGAGGCGCCAGTGGAAGAGGACGAGCAAAAAGCCCCAACTGAGGCGCCAATCGCTTCTGCCTCGCTGGCTGCCAACCACCCGCCACTGGAGGATCAGTTGTCTCGTTACACATTGTGGCCGGAGCATGAGAAGCTCTACGGCCATGGTTATGAGATTTCAGCAGTGGCAGTGAGCCATGACCGTAAGGTCATTGCTACGGCCTGCAAGGCCAGCTCGATTGACCATGCGGTGATTCGCCTGTATGATACGTCAGACTGGCATGAGATCAAACCTTCCCTCACTGCACACTCGTTGACCATCACGGACCTTTCATTCTCGAGTGACGATCGCTATCTTCTCAGTGTTGGACGAGATCGCCAATGGGCGGTCTTCCAGCAGAGCGATGCAGACCCAACTACGTTTACAAGCCTCAGCTTAAACCCCAAGGGTCATTCTAGAATGATCCTAGGTGCAGCCTGGGCCCCAGCTACCACAGACCATGTCTTTGCCACGGCAGGACGTGACAAATCTGTGAAGATCTGGCAAAAGTCCGAAGACACTTTTGTCAGCAAGACAACCGTAGCCCTAACATCGGCCGTCTCAGCGATTGCTTTTTTGCCCGCAACATACAAAGGCACATATGTTATTGCTGTCGGCGAGGACAACGGTGTCATTTCTATCCACCGAATTGCCGCTGACACTCTCGAAGCACAGCACATCGTGACTATTGACAAAGTGGCCTCGCCCTCGAAGACAATTACTCAATTATCATGGCGACCAGTGCCGGCTGCAGAGGCGGATAGCAGGGATCAGTTCGAATTGGCGGTGGCAAGCGAGGACACGTCCACCCGGATATATGCTATCTCGAACATGCTCTCATGATTTGTATAAAAAAAAGCAATATGGGTTTTTACCTAGGTAACCCCCCTTATGAGTCATGATGGTTGAGATCCCTTTTTAATGTCTTTGTAGATGAATTTCAAATGTCTTTTGAGATGTCTTCCAAGTTGAATATACCCTGTAAACCTTAGAAGACTGTTGGGGTCCTGATATAAAGCCATCAAGTGTGTTTGGAAAGAGCCCTGGAGCTCCTGCCACATTAGGATATGAAGGCAGTCCTGTCTCTCTCCTCTCTCTTCCTCTTCCTTCCTCTCCCTTCCTCTCTTTTCTTCCTCTCCCTCCTCCCTCCTCCCCCTCGCCCACGCACCGTAAAAGACCAAAACAACCTCGGACCCCCCTAGGGCCAGATTCTTTGCGTTTTCGTCTTTCTTTATTCCAAAGAGGAGTAAAAAAAATGCCCGACAAGGGCAAGAAACGAGCTGCGGTAAGTGAGACCGAGTTACAAGGTTCTCGTCGCGTTGAATCGCCTCGAAGCGTGTCGTGAACCTATCAACACCTACCCTCACGGGTGACCACACCCGAGAGGATTGCCAAGAGACACGGGCATGGCCAACAATGCCGCCATAATGGCAGCATACAAGCCCCAGGTAAGGACCCTATAGAATATTCTGAGGGCCACATTACTAATAGATTTTTGATAGCACAAGCGCAAGGGCCGCAAGAAGGCCCGTCGCCACCACCGTGGTGGCCGGAAGGGTAGGTATGTCTTCCAGTTTGAACCTTCATACATCCAACCCTACCTTGAGCTGGATTCCTTGGAACATGTTGTTTGCCTTGCAATCTGCATTGAAACAACTGAATCAGTTACTCGACACCATTTGATCAGTGGATGGTATCAAAAGCCATCGAAACATATACTGACAATATGTACTTAGACAAGGAGCCCGCCGCGTCGCCCCACCCACCACCCCCCTTTACTTCAGCGGAGGCTGCCCCGCCACCCCTCCCGCTCCTCCTTGTCTGGTACGTGAACCTTTCCGATCTATATATCTCCGAGCGTCGTCTTGTATGGGTTAGGCCTGTGGTTGCAGTCTATAGGCTCAGCCTGTGCCTGTTACTAAGATGATCTGCCAATTCAATGAGTCGAGGTTTGAATCGTGCATTTATGACCCAAACCCACCCCCAACATCCATAGCGCTAGCATTATTCAAAGGATATATGCTAACTTGTAAGTATAGTGAAATATACTGCCACTACACATGGTAGCCTTGGTGTGGAGCCTGGCCTGCTTTCGAGATTAGGGCAGGAGGAACTCACCCAGGGCCGCTGTGAAGAACCACGTAGTGATGATGAGGTCAAAAGCAGGAATCTTAGGACGACTGGGATCGGTTCCTACATATGTATACGATGTTCTTTTTTTTTTACCTTAGGGTAATCCAATCACCTTGTATGATGTCCCTTCACTTCCCACGTAAAACATAGATTTTGAACAGTCGTTTCGTAGGAATTGTGCATTAGTTTGCAGCTGATTTTCCAAATAGATATTTATAGGCATCTTAAAAGACATGCCAAAAGATATTAAAATTATCCAAGTCCGCAGTGGTATGCTCTGCAATACCCATTGTTTATATCACATCCCCGTAGTTGCATCCATCGTCTTTTATTTTATCTACACTTACGTGGTGTTAGCCTCGTCATAGCTCAATTATCATAGATCAGGGGTCAGTTCGAATTGGTGACGAGCGATGGCACGTCTACACGTATATATGCTATCTCGAACATGATCTCATGATTTGTACAAAAGAAAACAAAGTAATTGTAGCCCCCTATGAGTTATGATGGTTGAAAAACTCCCAAATGTTGAATAAATCCCCCCTGTAGATGCAGATGCCAATCCATAAACCCCATCTATGCTGTGTGGTTGAACCCAATTGTTGTTGAATGGCACATTAAATGACCCCTGGCATCAGTGATCGCCTGCAAAAATAGAATAAAAGGAACAGGAAAAACAAAAAGTCTCAGATCTCTTTCCAGGTTATTTTCTCAGTCGTGTTTTTCCAGTCCGTAACCTCCAATACCTTCAAGTGACTGGTAGGTCTTGGCCTGATTACCACGACCATTCCGGGGACCTCTGGCCTGCATATCCTCCTTGAGCCACTTAAGAACCAACTCTCCAAGGCGACTATTCTCCGAAGTCCACTCAGGAACTTCTTCATGGAACGATTCAACACTACCCAGCGCCTTGACCTTGCCCAAGTGCATGTGGGACAGATGGGTAGGCCACTGGGCGAGGTTATCCAAGATATGGGTAGCATAAACAATAGTGCAAGCACGGGTCTCAGTCTCCCGCTTTAGGAAAGCCAGGAAATTGCTCCGGGACAAAAGGTCCAAGTCGACAGTGATCTCGTCGAGCAGCAGAACCTGCCAGGGCCGCAGCAAGCCCATGGCCAGCTGCACGCGGCGGCGTTCTCCGTCCGAGACGGCATGCATGCGCCAGCGCAGATCGACATCAAGGATATCGATCAGCTCATCCCGGCGTTCTGGGTAGGCATTTCCGCCGACGGAGGCAAGCAGCGTCGGCACATCGATGTCTGTGCGGACGATGCTGTTCAACACCCACTCGACTCCCAGGTAGGTCACGCCATCTAGACTGTCTTTGAAGGGATCCTTGCCGCCAATGGCGATGGTGTTATTGGGTGCAAGGCGCTTCCCTGATAGGAGGCGGAGGAGGGTGGTCTTCCCCGCTCCATTTGCTGTGTGTTTGGGTTAGTCTTCGAGATTAATCTGGAATTGGGATGGGTTTGACTCACCGCCGATAAGTAGAGTGCGGCTTCCAGCTGGTAGGCTCATGGTTACGTTCTCCAGGCCACTGGAGCCATCTTGGAACTTGTACGAGAGGTTTTGTACCTCAATGGATGGGGGAGTGGAATTGACATCCGCCATGACGAATGTGGGAGAAGGAAAGCACTGAGAGGACCGCGGATTTGACGAAATTGGAAGGAAGATGGAGATAAAATGAGTCAGACAATACTGTTAATTCGTGATTATCTAGACCGAATTGATGCTAGCGCTCATGTAATATGAGATGATCCCGGGTCGGGACGCCATGGATGAGGTAACCCGCATGATAACCGATAACAACTTTTTTCTCCCCCCGCGTTGTTGGAATGAGCATCGCGGTATGCTCTCGGCTTTGCGATCTATTTGGCACGGTCAAAGAATCATGAATCCGTTCATAGCAGTCGTCGGCGCCACAGGCACAGGCAAGTCAAAGGTAATGACTCCAAGTACCGGCACTTCCTCCGGACAGAATGACTGATAGCTGTAGACAGCTTGCAGTGGATTTGGCCTCTCGATTCAATGGTGAAATCATCAATGGCGACGCGATGCAGATGTACCGCGGTTTACCGATCATAACGAACCAGATTCCGACAGAGGAACGGAACGGCATCCCTCACCACCTCCTCAGTTGCATCGACCTAGACGCGGAACCATGGCGCATAGGGCTGTTCAAACGAGAAGCCCTGCGAGTCATTGAAGACATCCGCGCCCGTGGCAAGGTCCCGATCCTTGTTGGTGGCACCCACTATTATACCCAAGCAGTACTGTTCAAAGAGCAGCTTGTGGGCGAGGGGATGGACGACGAAGGCGAGCGGGAGCAGATCACGGAGTTCACCTCAACCTCGAAGCAATGGCCGATTCTGGATTCGGCGCCTGAGGTTCTCTTGGAGAAGCTGCGCGAGGTGGATCCTGTCATGGCTGCGCGATGGCATCCGAAAGATGCACGGAAAATCCGGCGGTCATTGGAAATTTATTTTCAGACAGGGCGGAAAGCCTCGGAGATATATAAAGAGCAGTTCTCTCAAAAAAGAAAGGCGATAGACCAGGAGGAAGGACTGCTACGGTTCGAGAATACGTTGGTGTTTTGGGTACACGCGGAGAAGGAGGTCCTCAATGCGCGCCTGGATGCGCGTGTCGATGACATGGTCAAGCAGGGCTTGATGACCGAGGCCGAGAAGATGTCGGACTACTTGCAGGAAAAAGCCTCGCAGGGGATTGAAGTTGACCAAACACGGGGAGTTTGGGTGTCCATTGGATTCAAGGAATTGGCGCCATACTTCAAGGCTATCCGGGACGGGGAAGCAAGCGAGAAAGAGATCGAAGATCTCAAACGAAACTCTCTTGAATTAATTCGGATCGCCACACGGCAGTACGGAACATCCCAGGTCAAATGGATCCGCAATAAACTCTGGCAAGCACTCACTGAAGCCGGAGAGACACGTCGTCTTTATCTCCTGGATAGTTCCACTGTCAGCGACTGGAGCAAGTGCATCACTGGGCCGTCTGAGGAGATTGTGCAATTGATGCAGCAAAACAAGCCGACTCCGGATCCCAAATCGCTGTCTCAGTTGGCAACGACGGAGTTCGGCGCGAAGGAAGCACAGGCCCAAAAGCGTGTACAAACAGACCCAATCGGGAAGTGCTATACCTGTGACGTCTGTCAGAAGACTATGGCGTCGGAGGACCAGTGGCATATTCATCTGAACAGTCACCAGCATAAAAAGGGACTCAAGTCTGCGAGTAGGAGGGCACAGCGAGATGAATATTTCCGAAAAAAGGGAATTGGAAGCTCAGGGGATCCAGGCTCCCGGAACCGAACCTGAGCCATGAGTTATTGCATTGCGTGGTCAAATATATATCAAGGATCATAGATATACCCAAGATGCTTCGGTTATTTTAAATAGTTAAGAATGATCTTCCGTCTAAAACTCAGGTGTAGGTAGTCACTACGACGCCTCTCCTTGGGGGATCGCCGGACCGCAGGTCGCCTCGCGTAAGATCAATTGGGGGTTTGTAGTAGGTTGAAACAAGAGGCCGCTGAAAGATTTCATTCATTGCAATGATACACAAGCGATAAAAGTACATTAGCACTACCCAAAATACATTAGACCTTGCAATCACGAACTTGCAGAGGTCGTGGTCGATCGCCAGGCCTTGAAAGCAGGCGAGAGAATATCGCCATGTCCTTGCTCCTCAACTTGATAGACCTCGATGACCGGAGACTTCTCCTTCTTCCGAATTCTCCACGTCCCCTCCTGATTGATAGTCTTCTTAAGCCCTGGAAGGTGTCAGTGCTGCTATAAAGTCATGAAGAACAAGAACACCCACACTCCAAGAATGCACCGGTGAAATTAATGCAAACGTTTCCATCCCAAGAACGGCGGCCGACACTCAACACTTTCCCGGGAATACTGGCTGTGTCCAGTTCCTCCAAGCTATGGCAAATGCCATTTTCATCACGGAACCCCACGATGATCTTAGGCACACCGAGCAGGAATGACTGTGCCCAAAACTTGAGCAATTTCCGCTCATACTTTATCATATCGCGTTCATTGCGGATCTGAGCTGATGTCTTCAGCTCAACCCAATTAATGGGGCTTTCTTTTCGCGATGGCTTGCTGTCCCAGACTAGAAAAAAGAGGTTAGAATTGGGTATAGCCACGATAATCAAGGTAAACATACTGGCATCAACCTCTCCGCCGAGAATCATACGCACGTTACCGATCCCGGTGCGGACAACCGAACAGTACTGTGCTGCGTTGTTGACAACTTCGTTCTCGCGGCCTTCGATCTCTTCACGGGTTGATTCATCCCACGTCTTTGGAAGTACAGCCAGCTTTTCGAATTTGTAGCCTAGAATTGTTAGTTAGCCTAGATATATATTTGCATGGATTGTTTTACACACCCCAATACATCATGAGTTCCTGCGGTGCCATTCCAGGTGGCGATCCTCGCTTGCGTTGGATCTCTTTCTGTTGGTTCTTGTACTCGTTGTTTTCTTCGATGAATCTAGAACAAGTCAGCACTTTATATAGCGATTTTGCTAGCTCAATATTACACACATGGTGCCCTATAATCGATATTAGATCATGAAAGTAGATAGTTTTGCTGAGATTGATATCGTACCTGGAAACAAGTTGCATTCATCTCGAAGCTAGAGATAGCATGGGGTTAGAAAAACAGCTTGCTATGTTTGTAATATATCAGGCTACGAACCCATTCATATTATCAAAGGGAGCCGTTAGAATCTGTACATAAAAGTCAGAATTTGGCTCGAAATCAGATGATAAACCGCGCCAGCCTTCAACTCAACACACCTTGGTCATCATTCCTCTCCACGTGACGATGTCTACCTCACACTTCTTCTCCGTTTCTTTCTCATGAGCAACAAGGGTATCAAGTAAAGCATCCAAATGCTCATCCGGGACATCATTGAGCTTCTGGAATGTCTCATAGCCCTTGTTCAGGTCTGCAGGGAGAGCCGGCGTGTAGTAGTAGGCCATGGACGAATCGCTCAGCAAAAAACGACGCTGGTCATCATAAGAGAAGCAAGCAATTTCCTAGCACCAGGTGAGCTATTCGTTTTCATTTGTTTGACATAGCGCCAGGTCTTTGGCTTACCCTTGGTCTCCGGATAGAGGTATTTGCGCCGCCGAAGCGGTGCAGGGGCTGGATATTAAAAGTAGACTGGTTCATGATGAATTTGTCGCACTATTGAGCGATGGACATGGTCGATTGAAGAAAAGTGATTGCTCGATCCTTGATATAGATTGTCGCGACCTAGTTAGGTAGCTTGTATAGTCGTTAGGGATGCCCGTAATAGCGTAGTATTATCGTAATATCGCCGGAAACAGGGGTCAATAGGACGAACAGATTCCAAACAGCAGAAATTGCAGATTTCGCGTGAAAACAAAGCTAGTAGTTCCAGCTATAAAGCGACCATAAGGTATTTCTGAGGAGATGACGATGCCATGTTCTCCAGTGCTCTGGACGAATTGCCGCGTCCCCACCAAATCTCAACCAACTCCCCGCGAACGTTCTTGCACTGCGCAACCTGCTTGATAGCGTCCTCGATTCTACCTTTCTTTTGATTTATTTGATCAGCGCTTCATTTTAGTCGACAATGTCATCCCGGATTGATAAGGTCATCGCCCGCCAGCGAGAAAAGTGAGAATCCCACCTGGCCCGTACCCACCTTGGACCACCTTGGACCTCGAAACATCCCACTCTGACTGTTTGTTGCTGTCTATAGGATTGCTGATGGCGCCTACTATGAGGCCCACCAGCAACTTCGTGTTATTGCTGTCCGGTATATCAAGCAGTCCAACTACGATGCTGCGGCGGAGATCCTGGCTGGTGGCGCGAAGGAGCTATTGAAAGCTGGTTCTCAGCAGGGTGCATCGGCCAGTGGTGGAGACTTGGCCATTATGTTGGTGCTCGAGGTATACAACAAAGCCGAATGGGAGATCTCAGGCAATGATGATGCAGAGGGTCGGGCTCGGAAGAGTGAGTCTATCCAACATCTTTTTACTACTGGGGGTTGATTACTGCAGTGTGATGCTTCGGGTTGCCCCAGTAGCTACCACAAACTGAGCATTGCTAACTTATATATTTTTATTATTCAGAGCGCCTGATCGAGCTGCTGCGCGAATTCCCGTCAGATGAACCTACACGAAAGAGATTCATCCAAGAAATGATTGGATGGAGTGCGAAGTTTGGACCACTTGAACGAGGAGATCCAGATTTACATCATGCTGTTGGCTCAGTATACGCCGAAGGTGAGTGATGTCTGAGCACAATGTTTGATGCATTCTAATCTAGTGTCTCAGATAACGAGCCATACGATGCCGAGAAACATCTCATCCTAGGAACCTCCGAATCAGCCGAGACCCTTGCAAAGCTCGAGTATGAGTGGTACACCAGCGACGAGCCGCACACCGCAGCGATCTATGCGTCACGCGCAGTCTTCCCATACCTCCTCACCGGAAATCTCCGCAGCGCGAATAAAGCCCTGCTTATTTTCACTTCGCGGCTTTCAGCTGCCAATCCTCAGCTTGGTGTGCAGGATGTCAGCAGTGCCAGCTCCGATGCCCGGGTGTTCCCTGCCCTTCCTTTGGTGAACTTCATCAGCATGTTGCTGTTGGCCATCCAGCGCGGAAGTGCCGATCTCTTCCGACAGCTCACTGCACACTATGCGGCCCAAATTCGAGAAGTTGGTATCTGGGATGATGCTCTGGCTCAGATTGGCGAGCAGTACTTTGCCATCAAGATCCCGCGTCAAGGAAACCCCTTGATGGACATGATGAGCGGTATGTTGTTTGGAGGAGGTCAGAACAAGACAGGTGGCAGAGGAGCATCGCAATCCAGAGCTGCGAAGAAGGTTGAGGCACCGCCGTCGAGCATGGAGCTCGATTAAGGAGACCAGATGCGTGGGTCTTTTGAAGCAGGCCTTTGCAGGAAACATATCCAACTGATAGTGTAATGAGATCAAGATGCATGCAGCAAGCGCAGCCCTGTCTAGTTAGAAATCGAGTCCTTCTCAGGCTCAAACATCCAATTATCGTCATCCAATGATGCTACCTTTTTGCGTAGGCTCTCGTGCACCATATCTAGAATCTCTGTTTCGGATCAGTATATAATCACAGACACGACCGTCAAACTCAATCCAGCCAGATTGCAACTTACCATCAGGTTCACCGTTGGATTGTCTGGTCCGGTGCCGAACCATCATCTCCACAAGAGCTGCCTCGAACTCTGTGTCAAGTATTAGCAGGCTATACTTCGCAGAAGAAACAGCACCGGGTCAAAAACATACTCTCTTTGTCATGTCCAGTGAGATCTGAAGAATCGAATCCTCCACCCTCTGGCGCAAGCTCAGCCAGCTCCTCTCCATCCTCTCCAACCAGAGCATGCGGCAATGTCGGAATCTCAAGCTTGTAGCTGCCATTCTTGTCCCGAACCACAATATCTTTGTTCTCCACAGTTTTGAATGGTCGAGTATGCGGCCCCGAGTCTGAGGATGTAGGCTTCAGCCGGTGTGAGGGGCGATTGGAAAGGCCGCTGTGGTTCTGAGGGATCGCGCCATTGGGTGGTCCTGCGGAGGCAGGTCGGCGGCTGAGGTTCCCATGGAAGAGGTTGCGGCGCACAGAGCTCTGGTTCATAATTCCAGATGTTTGCATGACTGTACACACCACGGCTTGTGCTTTCTCTGTTGTGTTTGGCCGGAGGTTCAGAGTATGCGGGGAGCCGTGCGCGTCACAAAGTGGAAGCGTGTATGTTTCGAGGAGCGGGTTGATTCCAGGTATGCGTGTTAGGATGTGTGAAATAGAGGGAATGGAGTCATTTTCCAGCTTCTAGGTATTAAGAATAATTGTTGGGGTGAAGAGAGGAAGAAAGGCGCGGAATGAAGTAGATGAGAAAAAGAATGACCACGACAACGCCAGAATTGAACTGAACTACGCGTGCAGCAGTCAGTATATTAGGACCAATTAACTACTAAGGCTCTCATAGAGATTATACAATATAAAAATAAACAAAATAACAAAATAACAGCTTTAGTGCCTCAGTGCACACACATCACCGTGAAGTGCACAGGCCAGCTGATAAGCCGTTATCGCGATTCCCACGCGTGCTTCTTTCGCGTCTCCCCTTCACTGCACTTCTTCACTTTGGAATCACCAAATTACTCACAATGGTTCAAGCGGAATCTTCCTCTGCTTCTCGCAACGGTGCCAAGTCAAACACTGCTGGCGCCCCTGTGGACTATGAGCTCCCCTGGTAAGCTTTCCTTTCACGAGAACATCAGGTAGAGCTAACCTTTGGCTTGTCAATAGGGTCGAGAAATATCGCCCAACCTTCCTCGATGATATTGTCGGCAACACTGAGACAGTGGAACGGTTAAAGATCATTGCCAAAGATGGTAATATGCCACACGTTATCATCTCCGGCATGCCGGGTATTGGAAAGACCACTTCAGTACTATGTCTGGCGCGGCAAATGCTGGGAGATGCATACAAGGAGGCAGTTCTGGAGCTGAATGCAAGTGATGAGAGAGGTTAGTTTTTGCATCATTGTTTTCATGACTTGGTTGATACTGATGCTGTGGTCTAGGTATCGATGTGGTGCGGAACCGGATCAAAGGTTTTGCCCAAAAGAAGGTTACACTGCCCCAAGGACGCCATAAATTGGTTATCCTTGATGAAGCCGACAGGTTTGTTCTCGTCAGAGTTTTGTTTTGGTCATTGGACTCACATCTACCCGCAGCATGACCGCCGGTGCTCAACAAGCCCTGCGACGTACTATGGAAATCTATTCCTCCACCACACGATTTGCCTTTGCCTGTAACCAGTCGAACAAGATCATCGAACCCATTCAATCCCGTTGCGCCATTCTCCGTTACGCCCGGTTGACAGATGCTCAGGTTGTGAAACGGTTGATGCAGATTTGCGAGGCGGAGAAGGTCCAGCACTCCGAGGATGGCATTGCTGCACTTGTTTTCAGTGCAGAGGGTGACATGCGTCAGGCTATCAACAACCTGCAGAGTACTTGGTCCGGTTTCGGTTTTGTCAGCGGAGACAATGTTTTCCGTGTAGTTGACAGTCCGCACCCAGTCAAAGTTCAGGCCATGATCAAGGCTTGCTGGGAAGGCAAAGTGGATGTGGCATTGGAGGGGCTGAACGAGCTATGGTATGTTATGAATGTATTGGTTTTGAGGTGCTGGAGGTTTCTAACCATTTTATATCTACAGGACCCTGGGTTACTCTTCTCACGATATCATCAGTACCATGTTCCGAGTCACCAAGACCATCCCAACATTGTCCGAACATTCCAAGTTGGAGTTCATTCGGGAGATTGGATTCACGCATATGCGTATCTTAGATGGTGTGCAGTCACTGCTTCAACTGAGCGGCTGTGTGGCGAAGCTTTGCAAGATTAACATGAAACCCGATCTGTTCGAGCCTCCCAAGGCTTGAGACTCAAGAGTGCTTGTCTTGTTGCATATTCCCACGGCGTTTGTCATTTAAGTGACTCTGGAGGCAGATATCCCATCAAGCTGCATAATGAGTTACGTCTACCATATTTATCCCAAAAATCAGTCCAATCAACGGTGATATACGTCATTTAGTCTGCGAGTTGACCCAACTTCATATTCTGTCTATACGTCCCAGGTAGCTTAATTGGATTTGTCGACATGGCTTTTCCAGAGCTTCTCAATAACTGTAGTAGCCCCCAGGACCTTCTCTTCGTGAAGTTTCTTCCCGATGATCTGCAGATTCACCGGATATCCATCCGCCTGTTGCGCATCGAAAAGATTCCAATTCCACTCATCGAGACTGTTTCTTGGGACATAAGGCTCCGAGGGCAACACGTCCAGCTCAGCCCTCACCTTATCCACTGGGAATGTCAAAGCCGGATAGTCCAGCAAATTCCAAATCTTAGTATAGCCAACCCAACGGAATTTCCGATGAGGTACAGTCGTATGCGGCAAAGTAGGACTCAACAGAACATCGACAGCCCGACCCGACGGAGACCGCAACGCATTCCATTTATCCAGATACTTCTTTTGCACTGCAGTTTTCCGCTTGTTCAACTGCCAATACTCATAAACCGAGATAGCCTTGTCACGGTTAACCAGCCCTTCAACGTGAGGAATAAACGGCTCGCCGGCAGCAGCTATATCCCGACGAATATCCTCACCCCCGTCGACCGTGTAGAAGAGATCCATAATCTCAATGCATCCCGCATGGTCAGATGTATCCCAGACCACAACCTCATGGCCATGTGCTTTAAGCACTGCTGAGAGTTCTAGCAGGGCGCGCGCAATAGGCGGATGGACCTTTACCACGCCGTCATCCAGGATCAAGCCGATGACCATAGGTCGGTCTTGGAGTTCTTGGAATGCAGTGTCGTTCCAGGGAAGAGGCGCGCATCGCGGATCGACATCCCAGGGTTGGCTGTTTGCTATCAGACGGCTCATGTAGCAGATAGACGAGAGATCTCGGGCCATCGGGCCGATAGAAGACGGGACATGTTCTTGGCCTTCGGTGGAGACGGGTACGCCCTGGTAGGGGAGTCGAGCGCTCTGTTTTTAGGAATCATAAGGACATATACCAGTGAAGAGAAAGAAGCTTGTCTGCTCATGGGGGTTGGTATTTACACTTGGTTTGAAGCCATACAAGCCCACTGTAGACTGTGGGATTCTTACGCTTCCACCGATATCCGTTCCGAATCCGAATAGTGATCCATGCAATGTCAACAAAGCGGCTTCGCCGCCGGTTGAGCCACCGGGTGAAAAAATTGGATTGCGAGGATTAGTCGTGAGTCCCCAGAGAGGATTCTCGGTTTCGGCCCACTGGAGGTAGAGTCAATCTCCGAATCAGATCCTGCCAGTGATAATCTCGGACGAACCATGATACTCTGTGGGAGGTTTGTCTTGGCGATGACGATGGCACCCATGTTCTTCAAGATCTGTACAAGCACTGCGTCTTCCTGGGCCGGGGCGAAGGACCTGCCCACATATCCCAGGGTTGTGTCAACGCCTTTGACGTTGAACTGGTCTTTCAGCGTGATTGGAATTCCATGCAAGGGACCTTTAAACTTTCCTGTTTCTGCAAAGTTGGCGTCTAGCTGCTTGGCCTGTTCTAGGGCATCTTCAAAAAGAACCTCGGTCAGGCTGTTTGTCTATCCATGCCAGATTGTATCAATGAGTCCGTCGGGGATGGAAATAGAAACGAAGATGCAAGGCACATACCAATTGATGTGCTACCACAGCCCTACCGATGATATTAGTATATGGCCTGTTCCAACCCCGGATTAAAAAAAGTCATACCGTTGGATATATGCCTTGATCACCTGTTCTGCTTGGAACTCCCCTTTCTGCAGGCATTCGAGTAGGGTAGCGACATTGTCAATATCTGTAATCTTCTGAAACAAGTGATCTTCTAGTCGAGTACGTTCCTCGGCATTCTGTATTTGCGGCAGACGTTGAGCTATATCGACTAAGTACGGTGCGATGAGTTGGTCTCTGATGACCCGTTTCTGGGAAACAATCTCTTCCCAAGTCTGTGAGCCCATTTTTTTTTGGCTATTATGAACACTCGCACGAGCCGTTTTGGAGGTCAAGACTAGCTTAATATAGTCTCGGACTGCAGTCCGAGGGCCACTCTTATCAAGTGGGGACGCAGTCAACTGCCCATATTTGGAGTAATTTCTTTTTTTCTTTTTTCTAGCCGAGTTCCGTATTTTCCCCAATTAATTTGGGGTCCATTTTCAATATGATCTTGAGTCTGTGCAAAATATTCAGAGAGAAAGAGAGAAGAGAGAAGATGAAGATGAAGAAACACGGAGAGCGGGGAAGGGGGCCAATTGGCCATGTGGGTCAAACCTTCGACCTCACTAGATTTTATGTCCGAACAATCTCCCTGTGAGAGAGAGAGAGCGCGCGCGATTGCTCTAAACAGCTACACTCCATGATGGAAAGAAGATCTCCTGGCATCACTGCCACTGCTACCGGCGCTATCCGATCAAATAAATCTGCTATCGCCAAGAGGGCGTGCGACCAATGCAAATTCCGCAAGATCAAGGTAAGACATCCCCCCCCCTTTTATGTATTAAAATCACAATGAGTGTACTGACTGGCCTCCAGTGTAGCTTGTCACAACCCTGCAAGGCTTGTGAGTCTATGGGATTCGAATGTACATTCCTTCAACCACAGAAGAAGCGCGGACCAACCGGGCAGTGAGTACCTAGGTAATCGCCCAATGTGAATAATATCACTGACTGGGATGAAGTCGCGTGTCGCAAATTCGACAGCAGCAAACTGTCATAACTCCCCAAGAGGAATCTAAGAATGGCTTCCAGTTCCAAACTCCAACCTCGGCGGTGGAGTCCGGACAAGCCGGTCCTTTGCCCGGAGCACCTTGGACCCCCACTCATGGTCCAGCCACGATGCCCCTAGAGGGGGCCGGAGGATTACCGCCTGCAGGTATACCACCTCCAATGGCACCCTGGGGTGAGGAAACCACATCTATAGATTCTCACAGCAACAGCGCCATGAGCTGGAACGATCGAAATGACGTCGAGTACTGGCTTCCAGATAATCTGGATTCTCAAGTCCCCGTCTTCGAATATCCAGGAAGTAATGTATATCTCCGGCCATCTCTCCCGTCTATCATTCAACCTGTCCCCGATGCTGCGTCCATGGGAATGCCTCCGCAGGAAGCTCCAAGTATGCCATACTCACCAACCGTGGGATCTCTGCACTCAGATACCCAGGAGACGGATGCAGTGTGGCCATCCACAATCAGTGAAGCCAATATGATCCCTTGGATTGACGTCTACTTTGATCGGCTCCATCCGACCATACCCGTTCTCAACCGATCAACCCTGTACACTTCAATGATCACACAGGAACATCGCAAGAACTCTCAGTTCGGGGCCATGCTCTTGTCGTTATGTGCATTCTCACTCACACAACCAATTGAGATCAACGAGCGGCCGACAACCTCATCTCGGGCTCTGCAGGCACGAGCCATGATGAACGAAGCGACCAAAATGCGAAGCTGTTCGGATTTTGGCGAGAATCCAACCATTGAAGCTGTTCTAACAAGCTTTTTCCTCTTTGGCTGTTTGTTTGGAAGTAACCAGCACAATGCAGCGTGGCTTCGGATCCGGGAGGCACTGGATCTTGCGGCCACACTGGGATTGAATGATCCCGAGTCATATCAGGATCTGTCTGGGGAAGAGAAAGGCCAGCGGCTACGGACGTATCTCGTCCTCTCTATCACAGAAAGGTAAGTAAATGGCTAGCCCTCTCAAAATCAACTCGCTGACCATAAAATATCAGAGCTTACGCTTTGCAACGGCGACACCCAATAACCTTCTGGGGGAAGCCGGGATTCACTATGCGGTCAGTGCATGACTTCATCCACAGCGCCACGCATAGCGTTGTCTCTGGAATTATGGTCCACAACGAGAAAGACGCCGAGGGGATGATGGGTCTTGCACGAATGATGGAACTATTCGATGCCATTGACGAAGATGTCATCGACTGCTGGAACCGCCGATGCGATAGCAGCAACGGGTACTGCCAGCGACTCACCGAAATCAAGGCACTCGCCATCCACCAAAATCTCAATCGAATCAACCAAGCCGAACGATATCGTGGCTATGACTGGTTCGAGCGAGCCAAAGGAGGCCGTGGCGAATCCAACAACATCACATTTGCCATGGGCCTACGAGAGACCCAAGCAGCGGACGTTTTTATCACCCAGAAATGGCTCCAGAACCGTGTCTGGCTCCTCTCCTCAACCCACGGGCTTCTGAGTGCCCATTCGGAACATCCCGAGCTAAGCTTCGGATATGCCGTATCCATTGCTGAATCCACTCTCCAGCTATGCCGGTCATTACGGTTGAGCTCCATGGAAGCCCATGGCATTGGTCTGGTATGTAACTTGCTCTCATCTATAACCTGTAGATGTGTAGGTTCGGATTGTGAACTGGACCCCATACTAACAACCCAACATCTAGACCGAAAAACTGTACGATATCGCAATCTGCGCAACAAACATTCTATGCAACACAAGCCCATCTTATGTGGTTGGCCTGAATATGCCCGTCAATTTCACCGAAAGAATACCACCAACTACAACTTCTACGCCCCAGAGTCTCGCAGAAGACTTTTTGTTACTTATGACCAGCTTCCGCGGTGGAAATCATCCCTATCTGGAGAAGTACAGAGCTCACCTACGCTCGCTGCAGATTATGGAACCCAAAGCTCCGGAGTGGGCGCAGTGATGATTGAGGTTCTGAGAAGGAGTGTTTGATTTGGTCTGGGTTGTGATCCTTCCAACTCATTGTACGAAACGGATCTTCAAGTTGTATACGATTTAACATTTTGAGACCTCATTGGCTCATGTTGTACATGGAAACCCCCATTTTCACTGGATTCTACAGTGTAACAATATAGCGAGTTTAACTATACCCAAGTTTACATATGTCCACGGTACAATGCGAAGAGCACAAAATATTTGCTCAATTATATTACAGACTTCAATTGAAAAGATGACTGGGGCTATGTCACAATCCCTTTGACGCACGGGACCTCAACTCAAATGAAGTCTCATACGACCTCCACTTCCACATAGGGATCTTAGCCGCATACATCTCATCGATCTCCGAAAAAGTCCGACCACGCGTCTCCGGCATGAAAAAGTAGAAAAAGACAATGATGGCAGCCATGCAGCCCGCGAAGATGAGATAAGTCTTCGCGCCAAGATTAGCTGCATCCGCCGAAGTCAGCTGCGGAACGACGAGAGTGGTGATAACGGCGGTTGTTTGCGCACAGGCAACTGTGTAGGCCATGGTGTGGTGGCGGAGTTTGGGAGTTGCCATTTCGGAGGGCATGAGGTTCGACAGTGAGAAGAAGGAAGACGCCCAGAAGAAGTTAAATACAAAGGACAAAGCGGCGATGCCCATAGTGGCTTTCTTGTTGCCTCTGTCAAAGGCTAAGCCACCGGCCACGACATCGATTATGAACAGAATCCCCATTCCGATGAATGCTGTGGGACGTCGACCGGCACGGTCAATGACGAAGGGTGCGGCAATAGTGCCGGCTAAGGTGCAGCAGGATGAGATGATTGTCAGAGCGAAGGCGTCTGCAACGCCCAATGCTGTGAGGAAGACGGTTGTATATGTTGTTGAAAGAATGACGCCTGATATTTGATTAAGCGAGAAAAATGAGCCTGCAGTCAGGGTACGCTTAAGATGCTGTCGCTGGAATATGTGCCAGAACTTTGTCTGGGCGTGTAGCTCGCGCTCATTTTCTTCAGACAGCCTCATGAGACGAAGTTCCTCTTCAACCTCGTCGTCGCTGGACCCACGCAGTTTCCGCAGGTTGCGTCGAGCGTCTTCTATATTTCCCTTCCCGGCCAGCCATTGGGGGCTTTCTGGAAGGGACACTGTCAGGAAGAGAAGAAGTACAGGCAGAACACACTGTACAGCCATTGGGATCTGGTATGATAGGCTCCCATCGATCTTTTCCGTTCTGAAAACCACCACGGTACCTACCACGCCAGCCGTTAAATTCAATATATTCATTGAACTGACGCATCTTCCGCGTATAGAGGCGGGAACCACCTATGAGTAAGAATGAGCGAGATTGAACATCGAACAAGCGGCAAAGGACCAATACCTCGGAGATATACAAAGGGGCAGTTGCATTTATCATGCCCAAAGCAACCGAATTGATAGAACGACCTCCCACAAAGGCCCCCAAATTCGGAGCAAAGACCTGCAGCAGTCCACCACCCACAGATACGATATATGCAACAATCAAAGGCCATTTGCGACCAAGGTGGAAATTCATTGGCGAAGCAAGCAGACCTCCGATCACAGATCCCACCAATGGAAGGGAGAAGACCAGATTTTGATTGCGAGCCGTGAGGACATATTTCCCAGTGACTGGGTTAGGTCCTTGGAATTTCCCAACCTGCATTGGAATCAGCTGGGATTATTTTTTGTTATGATGCAGCAGCACCCACAAAATCCGGCAATGCAGCAACCGGAGAAATGATCTTGTCATCGAATCCGAACAGGAATGAGGCAGCACCAAACACTGTACAGGCGAATATTAACTGGAAATTGATCTTGTGGGACTTTCGAGGCGCGTGCGAGTCCGAGTAGTCGACATGTTGTGTTTCAGTCGAACCACACTTAAAAGACATGATGCAGATTCGAATCCGAAAGAATGTGAGCCTACACCCTTGAAGACACACTTCCATAAGGATGCCTATGGCAATGTGTATCGAATCATGTTGAATAGGGGGATGTGGAAAGGAAGTTCCCCGGATCCCCCGGATTTCCTTTTCCCAAAGGCTAACCCCCCGGATTTATTTGGGAAGTTTCCCCGAGATTTCCCATTTCAGTCGATTAGGTACTGAGTGTGCAGACGACAAGGTGATATATCTCATTTTGCCTATATATAGTCCATTACCCCATCGATCATCTACCCCATCTACTCATCTGCTAGTTTATTTGGATTTATTTGGATTTCGCCGACAATCCTCCTGCAAATGCCGAAACTATTCCCGATTAACCCCCGAATCGGGAAATCGTTCTTGAAGATCAGGCCTTTTTCAAGATCTCCTGTGAATCACATCCTCAGACTATAATTTTGGAAAGTCTCAGCGAATACCTCTTACGGAATACTGCACGTGTTTGGACGAAGTGGCCAAGTTTGAACTGTGATAGATATCGGGAGTATCTCTCCTCCTGGCCATCTGACGACTCCATTTTCAACCTTTGCATCATATCCAATATTAAACATGTCTGCTCCTGTCATCACAAAGTTGGAGCTTGTCCTCAATCATCTGCAACACACCGGGCAATCTCCTTGCAAAACCCATGAAGTTAATGACGTATCTCGTGAAAAGAAGAAATTACCAGGGAATCTTTCACAATGGAAACCATCATTCCATGTCACAGCACCATCAGGATGGATGAATGACCCATCTGGATTGGGATACGATCCAAAAACAGGGTTGTACCATTTATGCTTCCAATGGAACCCGCACGGGAATGACTGGGGTAATATGTCCTGGGGCCATGCTACATCTCCAGACTTGGTATCATGGAAGACATCCACCGATCCCATCCTGACGCCCTCTGTTGAATACGATCGCCTGGGCGTCTTTACGGGATGTCTACAAGCAACCGGTGTATCCGGACAGCCGGGAGCTCTCACAATCATATACACCTCCGTGAGACATCTCCCAATCCATTATACGCTTCCATATACACTTGGAAGTGAGACTCTCAGTTTAGCTGTCTCGCAAGATGGAGGCGAGACCTGGGCACGCCAGGACTGCAACCCGGTTCTCACTGGCCCACCTTCACATCTTAACGTGACGGGTTGGAGAGATCCTTTTATCACAACTTGGGCCGAGGGGCCTCTTTCTAAACACACACCGTCAACACTATATGGCTTTATATCAGGAGGAATTTCCAAGAAAACCCCAACGGTTTTTGTTTACACTGTCCAAGCAACAGACCTCAGCAAGTGGGATTTCATTGGCCCATTGATGGACGTCGGTCTCAATCTACGACCATCTCGCTGGTCTGGCGACTACGGCGTGAACTGGGAAGTCGTCAATCTGATGACCCTGACCAATGACACCGACACGTCTCGGGACTTCATCGTCATGGGAGCCGAGGGCTGTGTGCCGTTGGACAGTTCGAACCAAGACGGGGCCCAAGAAGCACGTCGGAGACGAGTAGCCCGAAGCCAGCTCTGGATGTCTGTCAAATCCAACAGAGAAAAGAAATCCACATCCACAGACAGTGCTCTGGCCTCATATGCATTCTCTGGTATCTTCGATCACGGCTGCTATTATGCGGCCAACTCGTTTTACGACCCGAAAACCTCGCAACATATCGTCTATGGCTGGATCACAGAAGAGGACCTGTCCGATTCTCTGCGTCATCGCCAAGGATTCAGCGGCTTGGTTTCACTTCCTCGTGTGGTGGGATTGATGGCATTGAAAAATGTCAAGAAGGCGCGAATCTCGGGGTTGAGTTCGATTACTTCAATCGACGCAGTCCCCAATGCACCTGGTACTGGTACCTTCACGATCCATACATTGAAGATCAGCCCAGATAGCCGACTTAGGCGGCTGAGACAAAGTGCTTGGGAGAGCCAACTCGCTGGCGTTGCCCTGTCCACATCACCTTCACAAAGTGCTACGCTGCTCGGGACATCTAAATGGGAAATCGACGCCGAATTTTCCGTTAGCAAATCTTGTGCACGTGTGGGAATCAAGATTCCACACACTTCTGGTAAGACATTGATTTTGATTCTGATTCTTTGGATGTATCGTACATATACTGATACTATTCTTCTAGATGGTCAAAACTGTACGACCCTTTCCTGGGATCCACGAAGTGAGACCTTTGAAATCCATCGACCACTGAGTGACGACGCCGAAGTAAACCACGGCTATGAAACTGCCCCACACACGCTATTCACTTTCTTGAATGAATGTGGTGAAGAGGTTGAAGAGACGCTTCGAGTACACGCCTTCTTTGACGCTAGTGTGTTGGAAGTGTTTGTCAATGACAGAACGGTCATATCTACACGAATATATCATCCAGCAGACCATTGCCTCGGACCACTGTTCTTCGCAGAGTCTGATGCTGGGGATGATGAGCAGCCAGCGGCGGTTCTCGAGCGAGCTTCTATCTGGGATGGTCTTGGTGTTTGAAGAATTGCAATATGCAAAGATAATGAACATTATGTATAGTATGCAACCCATGTAGTATGCAGCGCACTAGAACTCAGTAATAAAACAGGGTAGAAGTAGATGTGGCGGGGATCATGAAACCAGCAAGAAGATGAAGCAATCAAAATGCACCCGCCTAGAGCCATGGTCATCACATCGTCGCCAAAAAGACTTCTATTGCAAACGCAAATAGACACACAAACACCAAACACAGCTTTCACTTCGTACCAAATACACCCCCAGCTATATATGCATGGGTATCACAATCATAAGAGCAAACAAGATCAGAGCGGGTGGAAAGTTCCCCCGAACTTATCGGGAACCGCGCTTCCAGAATTTCCAGCTAGGAAGGTCGATCCGACCATCTCGCTGGTAGATACGCCAGTAGTAGACGGGTACGCCGGTGACGATGAACGCAACGACGATGAGCGTTTGTAGGGGCTCGGAGATGACAGCTCGGCTGAGGAGGAACAGGCTCACGCAGCAGAAGATGATGGGTGTGGTGATCCAGGTGCGGTAGGGACGTTCCAGTTTGGGTTCACGAATACGGAGGACGATCAGGCCGAGAACGGTGAGGAAGTAAAAGGTGTATCCGGCTACACCGTAGAAAGTGACGAGAGTGCCGAACTCGCCGACGACGATGTAAATGGCTGTCAGGGAACTGTTAAAGGCCATGGCATAGATCGGCGTGAAGCCAAGTCTGGAGTCATCGCCGAAGAGACGGGAAAGGGACTTGCGGGCCCAGGAGCGGCGGCGTAGTCGACTGCTTGCTGGAGGGCCTGGCAAGGGGGAGGCGTGGAGACCGATGCGGCCGAATATTGAGGGGAGATACCCTTCCTTGCCGGCTGCGTAGACTAATCGGCCGCTTGTGAAGGTGGTTGCGTTGAGAGCTCCGAAGCAGCTGGCTGAGACGACGAGAGCTAGAATCAGGGCTCCGGCGGCGCCGAATACTTTTGCGCCGAATTGTACGGCGACGGTGTTGCTTGCCTCAATGGTGGAATGAGGGAGAACGAGGAAATATGAGACATTGGCGAGTAGATAGGACAGGATGACCAGTGGCATCGCGGTGTGGATGACTCGTGGCAGATCGCGGTTTGGGTTCTTGAATTCGCCCGTCACGTAGTTGGTCTGCAATGTGTGAGTAGAAGCATTTTAGAATTAATTGAGCGCCAACTTACATTGTCCCAGCCGTCAAATGCCCAGAGACCTGCATACAGGGCCACTGCAAAATCAGAGATCTCGGTGTTGGTTCCTTCGAACCATCCTGTTGTCTTCCATTCTTCATTTGCGTTTCCTCCAGTCGAGAAGCCAGTCACAGCGACTATAATACCGATGACTGTAACACCCAGCAGAGCAATGAACTTGAAGAACATAAAGAAATCGCCAATGCGGGTAGCGAACTTGGTGGAGATGCAGTTGAGCAGAGTCACTGCCACAAGCCCTCCAAATGCAACACCCTTGTTGATCCAAGGATTGACATCGCCCACATCAGCGCCCACAAATGCGCGAACGACGTACTCGCCAAAGATGAGAGAGATAATCGCCGCCGACCCAGGTTTCAGTACTAACACGGCACACCACGCGAAAAGGAAGCCCGTCAGCTCTCCAAATATCTTAGACAGATAGATCTGCGAGCCTCCATTCAATGGAATCGCTCCTCCCAACTCTGCATAGCTAGCAGCTCCCGTCCAGGCCAATAGACCAGCCACGGCCCAAACGATGAGCGAGGCGCCCGGCGACCCCGCGTTTGCATTGACCTGACTTGGCGACGAGAAGATACCAGATCCAATAATCAGCCCGACGATGAGTGACAGCCCGTTCAGATATGTCAATGTCTTGTTCCGCTCCAATGATCCATCTGTGAATCCTGGTCTGTCCGCAGACGGAGTACCTAGGGGCGCGTAGCCACCCTGTGTTTGCGACAGCGGGAATAGAGTGCGCCCGAAATCGAAAGCTGAGGATATGGAAAACGAGCTCTGAGCTCTATGGCGGCCTGTTCCTAGCTGGGCATCTGTGTGCGATTCTGCGAGAGGATCTTCGTCCTCGAGGGAGAGCTTGCGGGATGAGGAGATGCCGTCGGGGGAGGAGGAGCGTGAGGACCCGCCTACGGAGCCGGGGGATGAGGATGCGAGGGAGGCGAGTTCTAGCGAATCTCGAGGCGCGGCGAGACTGCCATTCCTGTTGCCTTGATATGTATTCGACATATTCTCTTTGTGTCCGTGTGGTATAAGTCGTCAAGAAGAGAGAGAGGGGAGGATGGCGGAAAAGTATGTCGTCAGGAGTGGCCAAGGGGAGTCTCCATTGCCTGACGAGAATGACGAGAATGTTGAGAATGTCAAGTCCGTAGGAGAGAGAAATCCCCAAAGTGAGTTGAAGTGAAGAAGAAGAGAACCGCCAAGGGGGTGCATTTTCTTGTCGATCGCCCAATCGGCTCTCTCTTGGCCTCGACCTTCGAGTTTCCGCCCGCGATTTCTTTTTCTCTTCAATTGCACTTCCCACATGAACAACCTACCCTCTTTATGCTGTAGAAACAGCCAAGGTCTCAGAGCTGTAGCTCGGCCTGTACGCTATGCTTCAACCTCGGCAACCTCAACGTCATCGAAGTCTTCCCGTTCCAAGTCGCGCCGCTGGCTAAGCATCGTCTTCGTGGGCGCAACAGCAGCAGGTGCAGGCGCCTATATCCGATCTCAAAACACATCATCCGCAACCTTGAATCCCGAAACATTCACCAAATACAGCCTTGTATCACGCGAGCCCGTGTCAGCAACCAGCAGCCTTTTCACCCTGCGACCACGCAAACCCAGCGACAGCAACTACGATGTTTACGAGGAAGCATGGCAGACAGGGGTCTGGAGTGTGATGTTCAAACAACCACAATTACAAATCGGACGGGATTACACGCCGTTGCCCACGACGGCGGCGACATCACTAAGCGTCGACGACGAGAACGAGGGCTGTTTGCGGTTCTTTATTCGGAAGGATCCCTTTGGAGAGGTCTCGCGATACCTTCATAACATCGACGTAGGCGCTGACGTCGAGATGCGTGGACCTAAGATCGAATGCGCGATCCCGAAGGAAACGGAGGAGATTCTCTTTATTGCTGGTGGGACGGGGATTGCGCCGGCTCTGCAGGCTGGGTATTGTCTTTTGAATCGCACGCATACTGAACGTCGGCCGAGGATCCATATCTTGTGGGCGAATCGGTTGAAGGATGACTGTGCTGGCGGTCATAGTGACTCGCTGAAGCCGCAGCCACGCCGGGGCTGGTTCTCTGGGTGGTTTGGCTCGTCAAAGAGTCAGGAAACTACGTTGGAAAATGCTAGGGATGTTGTACGAACAGAAGACACTTCTATTATTGTGCGAGAGCTAGAGGCGCTCAAGTCCCAGTATCCCGGGCAGGTCACTGTGGATTACTATTTGGACGAGGAAAACACGTTCATTAAAAAGGAAGATATCCGAGGTGCTATTGCACCAGCGTCAACGAACGACTCTCGCAAGAGCAAGTTGATTTTGGTTTCCGGTCCTGAGGGATTCATCAGCTACATGGCTGGGCCTAAGCTGTGGGCACAAGGTCAGGAGCTACAGGGCCCCCTAAAAGGAGTCATTAAGGAACTTGATCTCAAAGAATGGGGTGTGTGGAAGCTCTGAGTGCTTTCTCTTGGGCTTTTGTACCAATATCGGAACCTTTTTTTGTCATTAAAGCATATATATAGCATGGATATACTGGGAGTTATGTTGAATAAACAGTCGCAACTGTCCTGGACACATTCTAGCGTCCTATTTCGTTACCCATCACACATTCCTGGCCGAAAGCCCCAGGTTGAATTCGCTCAAACACCGATATTATATCCAAACACAATCTACTGTGCTGTAGCAAAGTCCTCGAGGTACTTCACCAGCTTCTGCACGTTCTCCAATGGAACTGCATTGTAGTTGCTGGCGCGCATACCGCCTACACTCCGGTGGCCCTTGAGGCCCTGGAGAAGACGCTTCTCGGCGCCAGCGATGAACTCCTTCTCCTTTGCATCATCGCCGCCGCTGACACGGAAGCAGATGTTCATGCGGCTGCGGACGCTGGCGTCAGGAACAACCTGGTATAATTGCGGGAACTTGTCCAAAGCACCGTAAATGAGCTGCGCCTTCTTGTTGGCGACTTCCTCTTGTCCGCTGACCTTTTGAGCGCTGAACTCGGCCATCAGGTCGGCCATGACCTGGCCGGCGATCCAAAGGTTGAAAATGGGGAGGGTGTTGTAGAGGGAGTTGTTCTTTGCGATGGTTGCGTAGTCGAGAACGATTGGGCCGGGGAGACCGCCAATGTTCAACCGGTGCAGGAGAGCAGGGGGAGGAGTCGCGGTCTGGGGAGGGAGGAGATCCTTGCGAACGATGGCAATGGTGATACCGGTGACACCGATGTTCTTCTGTGCGCCGCCCTGTATATATTGTTAGTGCACCACTCCCATAATATGGAGAGATTGCAGCCAACGTACGAAAATGACAGCGTATTTGCTGACATCAACCTTTCGGCTGATGAAGTTGGAGCTCATATCGGCGATGACAAGACGCTCATCTTCGGCATCCTGACCCTGAGCCTCCAATGACTTAGGGAACTGCTGGAACTCGACACCATCGACGGTCTCGTTGTCGCAGAAGTAGACAAACGCAGAGCCCTTGCCGCCCTCCTTCTTGGTAGGAGTCAACGACCAGGAATCCTCGGCGGGGATTTTTCCAAACTTCCCATCGTTGGCCTTGCGAGAATCAAGGGCAACATTCACGTATTTCGAGCCGATCAGTCTGCTCGCTTCCTGGGAAGCCTTGAGCGACCAAGATCCAGTCACGAGGTAATCCAGCTTAAGCTCCTCGTCGACCTCCTTCTGAAGTCGCTGGAAGACCAATTCGTCGACCTGGGACTGTTCCGCACCAGGCTGTGCCTTCTTCACGTCGACCTCGGCCCTGCGGCGGCGGCGCTCAATCCAGACGGGGACAAGGTTCTGCACGACAGCGCTGAACTCACCACTGCCTCCGGCCTGCATGAAAAGGATCTCATAGTTATCGGGGATATCGAGGAGAGCGGCGAGGTTGGCTTTGGCATCGTTAAGGATCTTGTTGGCGGTTGGTGAGCGGTGCGAGATCTCGCCGAGTCCAAGTCCGGCGTCGTTGAAGTTGACGAATGCCTTTGCGCCGGCCTCGACGACTGAAGTCGGGAGGGGGGCTGGACCAGCTCCAAAGTAGGAGACTTCTTGTCGGGAAGGCATGATGTGATTAATTGAGGTGAACTGAGGTAGAAGGAAAAGAAAGAAGCGGGAGAGAAAAACCTCCAAGTGTGGACCGCAGTGGATCAACCTTGCGGGAAAAGTATGAAGAGATATAGCTATTTATATGTTCAAATGACAGGATTGACTAGAATTTCAATGCGTAGCCTAATATATTCACCGGATCTACGTTTACACGTCCAATTGACGGTTTTATAGGTCAATCCTGGCAATGGCGGGGTATGAGTCAATTCGGTATGGTCCATTGAGTCACTATCTCAAAAGTTGAAGATGCTAAAACGATATCTTTGAATGGTTTGTTCTAAATAAATACGCAGTAGAGGCATATCACAGACTTACCTAGGTATATCGCAAATTGTCTACAAAGTAGGATCTAATCAGTTATTCGAGATCAACGTGGGAATGGCGGGGTTGATCGACATATACAAGGCTGTATAGTATGGAATGGTTATTCTGGTAAGGTGTATGTACAAGGTGCATATGAGGCGAATCTCTCGTTCTCTTCCTAGACCTAGTTTCTCTTTTCGTAGAGTCTATTCTTACTCTGTACTGAGTACATGTAGTGAGGATATAGCTAAATGAACCTTGGAAGACCGACATCGGCGGGTCACGTGCTATAATAGACTGGTTTGCAGTGTTTGTCTCTCCGAAGTATACGGGGTCAACTATATAAATCGACAGAAATATGCAGTACAATGTATGGAAATATAACCTCTTGAATTGCTATAGCCGGGCAGACGAGGAGGCAATTATATACTTCTGGAATGATGTGAAAGATGTGACCAAGAAGTACGGCACCCACAACATACACTTTTTGGAATCACAATTCTTGCTTTGGAAATCACTTGTGAGTTGGGATTCGGAGAAGGCACGGCTAATGATCGAGAAGCTCGGATGCCTTTGTCGGGAGCTTCAACTTGAAAATGAGTTAGAGCTCGTATGGTTGGAGGAATTGAAAGAGTTCGTGGAACCTTGGAATATTTCTCTGATTACAAAAAGCGGCGATTGAGAAAAGAAGAAAAGCGGTTTTATAAATGGCCTAGACGAAGCGAAAGATGTGATACAAGATTGTTTAAATCTAGCTAGTAGATGAGATTATGAAGTCACAATATTGTATTATGGAAGCTATAGAACTATGTAAAAGATAGGAAGAAAGGAAGACTACATCTGTAGACTATGTAACTCATAGTATGGGAAGTCATATGCCCACGATTATAGGAATATGTATCTGATAAAAAGAAAACCTTCTATACTCCATTCTTCTAAGAAAGGCTGAAATATCACTTCAAAGTGCAATATAAATTATAACCAATTAGTAGCCACTTGACGCAATTGATAATTTCTATCCCAGTGGGCCCATCCGCTACATCTATTTGTCGGGTTCAGCACTCGGGATTTGCTTAACTCTTCAACTCTTATTCAAGGGTGAGACTTTTAGAATGGCCGTTACATCAATGGATTATAGAACGTGAGCTTGCACGAAAATAAAGAGACAGTTTATACTCGGCGGGATTTGTTTGGAAATCCCCGAACTCCGTCGGGGGCCGTTCCTGCGGGATTTTAGGTACGTATGTACATACATTAGTTGAGTGCTTCGCCCTTTGCTGTCATTTTAGGGTCGAAAATAATTATTCCTCGGCACCTCGTTCTCTCACAATGAGTCAGTCCCAAGTGCATCCATCTCGAAAGATCTTGCTGGTGGTTACCACGGGGGGATTCACACATGCCGGTAAACTGCGGAAACTTGAAACATGACAGATATAGACACTAAATAAAGAACCTACACAGCTCCTGTTTTGGAAATTGGCCGGGTACTCGCGGATCGTGGCCACGAAATTGAATTTGCAACACTCGAGGGACAAGAGAGTTGGGTGAAACCCGAGTATGACTTTGTCAACAAGCTTCATCAGTTAGGCCCCGGACCAACCCCGGAGCAACTCGATGGTCACTATCGGCGTATGCAGGCATGGGATATCTCCAAGGGGGTCGGGCAAGCTATGGGATCCAAATACTTGTTCGATTCCTTCTGGCCTCAAACCTACCATCGTCTCAAAGAGATCATGGATGACCCTGCGACTCGACCGGACATGATAGTCGCAGATTTCTTTGTCGAGGCAGCCAACGATATTCACTTTGAGTATAAGTTACCAATCGCGGTCGTCTGTCCCAATATGCCTTCATTCCAATTACCCTGTCCATACATCCCAGGCCAGCCAGGCTTCCAGCTTCCAGGGACCATGACATCCGAGGATACTCCGATGTGGCTACGTATTATGAACGAGATCTTCTTCTTCCCGGATCTTCCAACTATCATACGTGCAAGGAAATGGAGCAAGAAGATGCGAAGCGATAATGGCGTCTTCCATCCTCCTCACAAGCCTAGCAAACCAGACTATCTCATCTTTGTCAATTCCTTCTTTGGCCTGGAGATCCCGCGCGACCTACCTCCAACCGCTGTTCCTGTGGGACCTCTCTTAAGCCCGACTTACCCGCCACTAGACCAGGAGTGTGGGGAATTCCTGGCCAGACATAAATCAGTCCTTTATATCGCCCTTGGTACTCATATCATCCTGCCCCATAAGGATGCTGCGAAGATAGTGAAGGCCGCAAATCGTCTCCAAGAGGATGGATTAATTGATGGTGTGATCTGGGCTATGGGCAAGACATGTCGAGCAGACCTTGACCGCAGGTAAGAAACTTACCACTAATGAGAAATAAATATCTCTCGTTCACTGACAGCTGAAAAGTTGCTAGCGCATCCTTCCCATTCAGAAACGACGATTCGAATGAAATCACCCTGGGAGATCTACTTGAAAACAAACATCCGGATTGGCTCTTCCCATTTTCGCACCTCAACGTGCTATCCTCGACAGCGAGTCAACCAAGCTCTACTTCACTCACGGTGGAGGATCTAGTGCTAACGAGGGTCTCTACCATGGAAAGCCAATGTTATCGATGGGTATCTTCTCAGACCAAATCGCCAACACCGCTCGACTGGTCGCAGGAGGTGTCGCCGAGTCTTTGAGTAAACTTGGCTTTACATCGGATGAGGTCTACGCCAAAGCCAAGAAGATTCTCAAATCAGAAAATGAGACATACAGTCAGAACGTGCTACGGCTGCAGCGCATTGCTCATGTTGCTGCTCGTCGGAAATACCATGCCGCCGATCTGATCGAGGAGCTCATGTACGACAATGAGCTACGGTTCAAAGACGGCAAGGAATTACGACCCATGCACTTGCAGACGGCTGATATGCGTATGTCTGCCTTTAAGGCCAAGAACTGGGATATCTACGCTGTCAGTGGATTGGCTCTAGCTGCGGTTGTGGGATCGACGTGGTTGGCTGGTCGCTTTGCGTGGCGGTATCGCGGCCCTGTGATCGGACAATTCCGATCCCTTGCGCTTGCAAGTTGGGAATCTCTGAAGAATACTGTCAGCAAAGTAGGGTTTGTCTAAGGAATATCTCACTGCCGATCTCTTGACATGGTCGAGTAAATAGTCAAACTGGCCTGTTTTCGGTTCAATAAATACCGGGCTGCTCATTTGCATTGAGAAATATAAATATGGATATGATTCTGGCGCAAATCCGGTAGTGTAGGCCTTTGCTATGTAAATCATGGTCTGTTGTAAATGGTTTCGAGATTGGACCTTGGAACATTCGAAGGTTAAAGGTGGTAGTATATGGAATGAGGTAGAGTCATATACAGGATTCGACCTTGTCAAAGCAAAGGCCTGTTTTGTGCAGCTTAGGCCATAGCTCCCTATAAACGATCCAAGCATTTTGAGACTCAGTATTCCTTGGAATACTGGGACTGCATTTCCAAGGTGTAGCGGTTTGTCCTTTCTAGTTCGAATGAAGTTCTGTTATATCGGTGATATCCTCTAGGGTCTCCCTGCTCTCGACATGTAGCGAGATACTAGTGTTTAGTGATTGTGAAGTGCATCTTCTACTATCTGAACTCCATATTGATAAAAACAACCTGAGGACAAGGGGTATTCAAGACCGAGAAGAGAAGAAAAAGAGATATCAGAGAAGGGAAATCACACAAATAGAAGATGCCGTAAGAGAAGTTGTCAACCTTGGAAGATCCCAAAACAGCAAGTACTCTCTGACTATAAAACAAACACTCCTCTTTCTCTTTCACTTTCACTCTTTCACTGTCCCTCACCATCCCTCATCTTCCATCCAACGTCCATCAACCGCTGACCATATCGTCGAGACAAAATTCACTTTCAACCATCAAATTTACATACATCCACGTCCTCAACCGCGCACCATGTATCACCACCCCGCAGCAGAGCAGAACCGGGACAACCCCCTGGGTCTTCCAATATACGAATGTTGGTTCTGCCCAACGAGCTGGATTGGATTCTCAGGTCTGCTGTTCCACCTTGAAGGAGGTCGCTGCGTGAAGCGTGACCGCATCCGCACCCTCGCCTTTGAGACTCCTGAGTACGGGTTTTACGGAAACCGACTTACCGACGAGAACCCTTTCTTCTGCTACCAATGTCGCACCCAGTTCCCACAGGTTTCTTACCTGTACCATCATGCAGAACACAGCCCTTCCTGCGCGTACTTACTCAACACCTCTGAGTGCCTCGGTGTTCTCCGTGACTTCTACATTGAGTATTATGAGTGCCCTGGCTCCGACTACGTTCACTTTTAAGTCGCTTTCGTCGTGAATGCCGATGTCAACCTGCCATTGGAATTGGGGTGCGCTGCTTGGTATGATGTGAGGGCTTTGAAGATCCGTTTTTTTCGATTTGAGAGAAGGAGATAAGATATCAGACATGGTTTGTGATTCTTTTTCCATTTGTTAGGGGGATGAAGTGAGCTACAGTGAGGTGAGGCGTTGTGGATTGTTTCTGGTACGGAACGGCAATGCAATATCCATGGGTAGATAGCTTACATCGCCAAATAACATCCAATGTTTGGTTGAACTCTTCCATTTCGTGTTTGTATATCAGTATTGCCATTCGTAGAAACTATATGAGATGAGGCTCTTTATATATTAGGTTTATAGTCTGTGCTCAATTGTCAAACTGCGCTGTATCCAAAGACCCTACAATAGACAACAGAAATAACACAAAGGCGAAAGAAACACGAAAAAGAAAGGTTAAACAAACCCCTTAACAGGAAGTAAGTATCACTGAATAAAGCTAAATAGACCCGACAGGAAGAAGCCATGTGGACAGACAGGGATGATGAAGCTATTCACGCACAACCAGGCATCGGTGGTTATCCGGCCTATCATCTACATCCCACCAGCCCCCATGAGGCTATTAGCTTATTATAGACTAGAAATAATCTTTTTTTTATTCTCTCCAAGCCAAAATAGGGGTCCAAATAGTCCAGTTACATTCTTGTCCAAGGCTGCAAGGTACTTGTCAGCCCCGGTGACAGGGTAATGGGATGACGTTGTGAGTTCTGCAGGAGCATAACGTGGGTTTCTTATTTTATTTTCGTGGCATTTCTCTTTTCTCTTTTCTCTTTTTCTGTTATTATTTTCTATTTTGATTGAATTTACAATCCTTCTAGAAGGAATCTCTTGCTATGCAGCTATCCCGCTATTCTTAGATCTGACATGATTGAAACATTGAAACATTGAAACCCCGAAATAATATCTTAGTCGAATAGCAAATAAAGAGACGAAATAGCCAATAGAAAAACAAACAAAAATAACAAGTATAGAAATATCTAAAATGTAAGTAATCACAATGATCGACGCCCAGGAAGCATGTTTCAACCTCAAACTCGTCTCTCTACAGGACTACAGGGCTAGAGCTGAAGCTCGCCTCAGCATTGGAATTCTTCATGATACCGTAGCATCCCTGACGACAATAATAACTCCCAAGGCTCAATGTAATAATTTAGGGCGTGCTATGTTGTGTTTCGGTATCGGATACATCTGGCCTAACCGAGACACGCAGAAAGGCGAGTATCCTAGGTACCTTGCGGAGACCGGATCCGGATCCTGACTCAGATAGATCGTTCATGTTTGACAGACTTCTCTGCATCTTTGACAAGGACAATGGGAGTCTGGTGGCTAATTTTCGGGAATGAACCCGGCGGGTTCGTTCCTGGGTGCCTGGGATGATGATGAATGGGGCCACGGCAACCAAGGCAGACAATTTTGGGATCCCTTATTCTTATAAGTAGAGGGTTGCTGATCGGTAGAGGTGGTTCTTGTGTTTTATCATTGCATACATTATTAGTCTATTGAGCTGCTATTCATACACAATTGCATCGGCTTCTTCCAACTTCTTCGCCGATACATCACCCCCCGTCTACCGCTTTGAAGCTATTCCAGCAGTTATCTCTGCCTAAATCATTCATCATGGTATCTCCTGCAATGGGTCGAGGAGGGTACAATACCCCCGCCAACCGACCATGTCCCAAGCTTCTGTCTGGCCAAAATTAGGCCGTCCAGAATATGTATGATGGACAATGCACTCTGAGCAATCATTCCAGTCACCTCAATTGCAACCTGTAACCAGTTGATATCATGACTCTTGCCGGACAAGTCATCGTGGGACAGCAGTTGCAAGTCAACCTCGTCATCGGAGCCATACTTGAATCGGACTCTTCACTTGCCAACACAGAATCTACAACAGTCAGCTCGCCATCCGGAACAGCACACCAAAGCCAAGATCCTCCATTACTTACTTCTCAAAGACAACTCCCAACACATCCTCGACATCTCCACTCTCGCCTTTTCCTGTGATCTTGGCCAGCATATCAGCCGCAAAGCGCAGATGTTCCGCAGCAGTGACGATATCAACTTCAGATTCAGCATGGGAATCAAAAGAGCCGAGTTCTTTTTCGCGCGAGGAATCACCAGCATATTCAGCAGAAGAGGCTTGGGATAGGAAGTCGTCCAGATGATCAAGACATCTTTGCAGATTAGAGCTTTGGCGATGCGTGACACCTAGAGAATCTTCCCAATACGACAGGTCATATTTACCTCCATCTCCGTCCACGCCAAGGGGCGAGGCAATCTGCTCAAAAGTTGTAATTAGTCCACGTAGAAAGACCTGGAGATTACCCGGGTCTGTAGTGGTATCGAGAGATGATGCTCCCCGCTGGGCTTCCTCGCAGGAAATCGCAAACACTCGGTCCACCGGGACCGAAGGGAAGATGTCGTGGATCGTATCGAACAATGACTGCGGTACACCACTTTCCAAGGCAGTGTGTAGCTTATCGCACTTGTTGATGGCGACAACGAGACATTTGCCCGCCTTCACGCAATCATTAACAGCACCAAGCACCTCCGGCTCAACGAACAGCCGGACACCGGTGGCCGTGTCTTCCAGCGAAACAACCACAATAACAACATCAGACTCCAAGGCCCTCTCTCTAGCCCGGCGAATACCCTCTTTCTCAACAGCCCCAATAACAAGCCTCTCACCATCACCAGAACCACCCTCAGCCCGAATCCCCGCCATATCCCCAAGCTTACAATACCATCCCCCAACATCAACCCCAACATCAACAATATCCCTCGTAGTCCCCTGCTCAGTACTAACAATAGCAGCCTCCTTCCCAACAACCCGATTCAGCAACGAGCTCTTCCCAGCATTCGGCGCACCCAACAGCGCAACCCGAATCCCATTCCTAAGCAACTCCCCGCGCGACGCATTAGCAATATGGAACCCGATCTGCACGCTCAGCGCGCGGACCTGGCCCGCAACAGACGAAACAAGCTCCTCAGTCGACTCATCGAAATGCTGATCCTCAGAGAAATCAATCAACGCCTCCAGCTCGCCGCGCGCATACAGCAGACCCTGCCGCCAGCGCTCGTACCGGTTCAGCAATGCATCACTCGAGCCGCGCACAGCTAGTCGTCGCTGCTGCTCGGTATCGGCGGAGAGTGTGTCGCCGAGGGCTTCGATCTGAGGCAGGCTGAGACGGTCGTTCATGAAAGCGCGACGGGTGAATTCGCCTGGTTCGGCGTAGCGCACTGTTTGTTCTGGGGTGTTGGTCTGGGCGATTGCTGAGAGGACGGCTTTTGTTATTGCTGGTCCGCCGTGGATGTGGAGTTCGAGGATGTCTTCGCCTGTTGCGGTTCGTGGGGAGGGGAAGTAGAGGACTAAGGCGCCGGCATCGAGGATTGTGTTTGTGGTTGGGGGTTGGGTTGGGTCGTAGAGGGTGCGGAGGGTTGCAAAGCGTGGTTTTGGGAGGGGGTGGTTTGGGCAGAGGCTTTTGTATATCTGGATAGGTTTGTTAGTCTGGTGGTTTGGTGGTTTTGGTTGTCTTTCAGGGAATACATACCGAGGCACAGGCTGGACCCGATATGCGTACAACTGCAATGGCTGCTCGACCGGTTGCAGTGGAGAGTGCATATATTGTAGAGTCTCCATCTAGCATGAATCTAGCAGGGCGAGTCGACGAGAAAGCTCGAGCTTGTCCGAGAGTCCGCCGGGGGACTGGAGATTCGGAGAAAAAGCCATGACGTCGGATATAGGATTTATTGGGTATCGTTTGCCATGGTTGACCTGTTGATGAGCTGAAGGGAGAAGCCCAACGCAGTACTCGGCGAGATGCTCGCATGCGCAATATCAAAACCAACGAAATATTGGTAGATGTCGAGAGAGTTCAAATGTTCAAATGTTGGTCCGATGTTTATCTTGAGATAAGGAATGCACGTGATTGATAAAGAACTATATAAATACGAGTACGAACTACAAGTGTGACAACATTGGAAGAGATCGGAACATAGATTTTGTCTAACTGGCGGGTATTTAAATCCTGATCCCGAAAAGCACAAGCAATAGCAGTCCATCTAATGCGGCTCTAGTCAAGGATACACAGCAGATATAAAACTTGGTCACGCCTCGCTCCGAAGTAGGAAGTAAAGAACAAGGCGACAATGCAGGAAACATTGAACATCAAGCTCAATATGCAATTCGATGATACGCCCTCCAATCATGGCGACATTTCCATGGCAGAGAGCCTTTGATGAAGTCGGGGGGGGGGAGGGAAAGGGATTATGTACAAGGAGAGAGAGAGACAGGATGTCGGTGTCAAGTGGGTATGCGGAAGTGGATAACGAAAAGAAAAGAGACAATGATTGCACATGAAGGGATAGTCTTAGGAGGAAATGAAAAAGAAGAAACAAAGAAAGGTATCATCACACCATGCTCGGCTCGTCAAATCAAGGAGGGCGGCTCAAAGAGTAGTGTAGGTAGGGAATGGGTATTATACAATCGAGGGCGGTTGTAGTAGTAGGGGTGTTGATGGCGATGGAGATCATTTGGGTTTGGGTCCAATGCGCCATCAATGGGAATCGATAAAACATTAATTTAAATCGACTGTCGGTGATTGACTCAATCCGACAAATCAGTTGGTTTGCGAGGAGAGGAACCGTCGATTGAGGGATCCTGTGATAATGAGTCGCCTTGCTCCGACACGACAATTGAAGGTGGAGGTTGAGACTCGTTGGGTGAGCTGGGGAGTTGTTGGTCGTCTGTGATCATTGAGTCTGTCTGTGAAGGAGAAGCAGGCTCTTGAACTGTGGCAAGACCACTAGAGCCATCCGCGCTATCTTTGCTCCCGCTTGTCGCGGGATTGCGGCGTCTCATGCGGCGATTACGACGCTCTTCATCTGCGCTCTCTCTTCTCCGTCTCTGGCGCTCGCCACCGCCTGCATCGGAATTACTTCTCAGA